GTGAACTTGTAATCAAAATTAAGGTGTTACAGTAAAATAAAGAAGTTTTCATTTTGTGAACACCTGAATTTGTGTCCTGAGGTTCCTGCTTATTGTACCAGTGATCACTAGACACTTTCTACCGGGCGGAAAGCTAAGCACTAACAGGGTTATTTAATTTGAACCTCACAATTATAACACCTATGAGGTAGTACTTTATTATCCTATTTAAAGGTGAGAGAACGAGGCTCAGAGAAGTTGCACAGCGTGGTGATTCTCTCAACATCTAGTCCCCTTCTTCTGGCAAACAGTCTTGAATGTCCCAGTTTCAGTCCACGTGATCAGAGCAGGGCCCCATGCACAACTCCAGGCCTAAGACAATCACATCACTACACTCCTGAGTGATTCCTCCCAGGAAAGGCAAATTATCTAAGTGAGTACAAATCCCGGGACTTTATAGGATCTACCACAAAAGAGTTTCTGGCTTCTCCTCTGGACTCGAACTTGAGAGGCTGAGACTGAAGGTGGTAAGCAAGCAGATCCAAAGATGGAGAGGAAGCATCTGCTTGAGCGCCGAATCCAGCTGTGCCCAAAGTCACACCTATTTTAGTCACATCAGCTGTGTGTTAGTTGAATAAGGCTGCCATAACAAAATGCCAAAAGCTGGTGTCTTGAAACCACAGAAGCTAATTCTCTGATATTCTTGGGAGTTGGAAGTTCAAAATCAAGGTGTCAGCAGGGCCATGCTCCTTCATAAAGCTCTAGGGCAGAATTCTTCCTTGCCTCTTCCTGGTTTCTGGTAGTGGCCAGCGATCATGGTGTTCTTTGGCTTTGAGTTGCATAACTCAAGTCTCTACCTGTCATCACATGGCCTTCTTTTCTCTGTGACTTCACCTTGTCTTCCCTTTGTGCAATTTTGTGTCACATTTCCCCCTTATCATAAGAATGTTACCCTGTTTCCCCGAAAATAAGACAGTGTCTTATATTAATTTTTGCTCCAAAAGATGCTCTAGGTCTTATTTTCAGGGGATGTCTTATTTTTCCATGAAGAAGAATACGGTACACATTTATTGTTAAATGAAAATACAGGAAATTTATTACCTGTATACGGTATGGTAGTACGGTAGTTGTTAACACAAACCAGACAAACTGTGAATCCTACAGTATCAAGAATTTACTCATTTATTCAATGACAATCATGTCATTAGCTTCTGGAACATCATCATAACAATCCAATTCCTGAATTTCCTGGTGAATTTCTTGTGACTCCATTTTTTCAGAATCGGTGGACCAAATCTCTCATGTTTAGCCTGGGGGGGGGGGGGGGGGGCGCGGGGCTTATTTACAGGGGAGATGCCTTATATTTCACCCAGAAGGAAACCTGAAAGTATGTCTTATTTTCGGAGGATGTCTTATTTTCGGGGAAATACGGTAGTCATTGGATTAGGAGCACACTCTAATGACCTCACTTTAACTTGATTACATCTTCAAGGACACTATTTCCAAATAAGGTGACATTCACAGATCTTCTTGGGAACATAATTTGACCTTCAACATCAGCCAAAATATTCCCTCTACTATGAACCACTTTGGGTTGGGTTTTTGATCATTTGCATCAAGAAACAGCTAGAATCCTGGCCAGGTGGAAAGTCATCCCATATACCATAAGGATGCGGGTTCAATTCCTGGTCAGGGCACATACCTAAGCTGTGAGTTCCATCACCTGTTGGGGCACATACGGGAGACAACTAATCAATGTTGTGCTCTCATATCGATGTTCCTCTTCCTCTCTCTCTCCCTTCCTCTCTCAAATAAATAAACACATCCTCAGGTGAGAATAAAAAGAAAAGGAAAGGAAAAGAAAGAGGTACAGCCAAAACTCACACCCCAGACCTCAGCCAACAACTGAGACAGATAGCTATGCCCTTAATCACAGAGCCAGACTCTTCCCCTCTTCAAAACTCCTCTCTTTCAAAGTCAGTGGCTATCCTTGGGGCAGAGGCCCAGGGTTAACTGTCTTCCATCTGCCTAACAGCCACTGCATACAACACAGTCAAGGAACACAAGAGTGATTGCTATCTAATTAATTAACCAAAATTTATTAGCCATGGTTTATCATAGGGCAGTAGCCTGAAAGATGGCCAGGATTTTTATCTAGGAAATAAAAAGTTATTGATTGCCCGCACGGCTGCCTTTCAAGATCTTCCCTTGATTTTGAGAGATCACCTCAGGAGGTGATAAGGAGAACATGTCCCCCTCCCCAGACATTTAATTTTCAAAATCGACTATCAGCCATGCCCCTTTCACACGCATGGCCACGTTTACTCCAGGGCCTTTGAGAAGGCTGTCATTTCAGCTTGTTATACCTAAAAGATGAAAGTAAAACTGATGTCTGTAGAATCATTTGAAATGAAAACTGCTTCCTAGAGGCAAGCTAAGGAAGCAAACTGATTGAAAGAGAGCACAGGCTTTGGGCAGGCAGGGTACTGGCGTGCAGACCCTGCATGAGAGGTAGACACCAGGACTTCTGCAGAAATAGATGTGTGTCAGAAAGCCATCTTCATATGAGCTCCCTCTGGGGTGTCTCAGTCTTCCCACAGCCTTTCCCCTGGTAGCTCTACGGCTCAACTCTCTCTTCTCTTCTAAGGAGGGACATCGCTCAGATTAAGGCCCACTGTAAATCTAGGATGATATCATCCTAAGATCCTAAACTTGATTATGTCTGCAAAGACCCTATTACCAAATGAGTTCACCTCCATTGGAGAGCAGGGAGGGAGATTTCAATCCACTACAGTAGATTTGGGATGAGACTCAAAATATTGCATTTTCCCCAAAATACAAAATGACTTTGCACTCTTTGCTCCTAAAATGACTCTGATGCAGGTGATCTATAGATCATACTCTGTAAAACATTTAATCCAGTTGCTGAGGATTCAAAAATGAACAAGACATGGTCCCCTCCTTTAGAGAACCTACTGTCTAGTGCAGTGGTCGCCAATCTTTCAGACCTCACGGACCACCAGTGGTACACGGGCCACTGGTTGGCGACTGCTGGTCTAGTGGAAGATACAGACAGATGCCCAGATGATTAAAATACACAGTGTGGCCTAGTGATGCCAAGCTCCGGAGTCAGAAAAACCAGGGATCCAACTCTGCACCTCTAGCTGTGAGGTTCCAAGCAAGTTCTAAGCCTGTCTGAGCCACAGTCCCCTCATCCATGAAATCAGAAACAGTTGCTCCCTCACACCACTATGAGAGCGGGCCATGTAAAATGCTTAAGATCAAAGATGGACCCAAATCGTCATTAGCTATTATGAAGGTGGGAAGCATTTTGCATTCATTTTCACATCCCACAGCCCCTCCACATCCTAAGCCTTTAATAAATGCTTGTGGAAGGGAAGAAAGCATAAGTCTGGGATAGGCAAGACATGTCCTGGATCTCAACTTATTCTGCAAGCATTTTCTGAGCACCTTCCATGTATGGTGCTCCATGTAGGCCGCTGGGAGAAAACCAAATAAAACACACAGCCTGGGGGGGGGGGGGTGTGATAGATTACAATACAGTACACCTCCTTCCTTTGGTTCTCCAACCTTCATATTACATTTTTTTTGTATTTTCTTAGGATTCGTAGAGTTTGGAAAGGCCCCTCCCAAACTATACCATATGCTCCAGGAGTCCTTTAATGGCAAGAAGAGTCCTCTCTTTGCCACTGAATCCCAAGGACCTGCCAATGAACCTGACTCTTACGAGCATCTGGTGAGCATCTGTGGAGGTGGTGAACGTTCTGTTGCTATTTCAGAGTCCAACACTGGACTTCTGTGAAGAACCACCTCCAGCCTCCTGGACTGCTGGGTCTGACTCTTGATGGGCCAAGAATATACAATAGAAGCCCAGAGGATCTATTCCTTGACATAAAGCCTGATAAGTTGGGAGAGATGTGGACAGGCTGCAATACAATGTATCATAATTCTGTACAGTTAGGCGTTTCCAGTTACAAGACCAAGAGTAAACAAATTGAACGACAGAAGAAGCTCTGACATCTCCTTCCTCTTCACAACTGCAATGCTTTGCACGCGTGAGACATTAAGGACTGTTCCCCCGCTGACCCGGAGGCTCAGAGGACGTTCAGAAGGGAAAGCCTGTGTGCACTGGGATCAGGAAAAGAAGTCCCCTGCACCTCGGGACAGAGGCTGATTCTCAGGAGGGAGAGAAGAGCACGTTTCTGTGGATGGCCAGCCTGCCTAGGTGACATGGGTGACTGCATCACTGGACCAGCGGCCTGTGAGAAGGAGACATCAGCCAGCCCTCTCAGCTGGAGAGGTCAGGTAGCCCCTCTCGACTCCAAAGCTCTTAGGGTGGACGGAGGAGGAAATTGGATAAGAGTCCAAAAACACTGACCCAGCGGTGATTCTGACAAGATAGGGGGGCGTGGTGTTCTCTGCTCCCACAAACCCAGTGGCTCTGCACCTGTTTCCTTTAGTAGGCCCACAGTCTGCCCATGTGGACTTAATGGAGTGGTGCATGAATGGGGGCTAAGGAGGACCCTGAACTCCCCCGCTCAAAGCTCCTTTGCAGGTAATGAATGCCACCTGGCCCAGGGCGGCCCCAGGGCCCGGATTTCCCTGGCACCACCTTCCCACTTCAGCGCCGGGTGTCCAATCGCCAGGCTCCAAAACAGCGGCTCCCAGGAAGGCAGGTGGGGCTTGGCGCCCTCTCCTCCCTCCCGGATCCAGGCTCCACGCTCCAATCCGGGGCCCGGCCCGGCGGAGGGAAGGCCCCTCCCCACGGGCTGTCACCAGATGGCGCGGAGGCTGGTGGCCCCGGGCTAGACCCGGAGGAGCGGGCGGAGGAGCCGCGCACCTGGCAGGGCGCGCAGGGCCGGGCGCGGGGGCTCCGGTGCGCGTTCCCCCGCTCCGTGCGCGCGGCCCCGGTCGGCTCGGCCATCCGGGGGGACACGGCCCGGGACTGGGGGCCGCTCGCCGGCCCTTCCCGCTTGGCCTGGCCGGCGCCGCGGCCTCACCTCGCTCACCAGCCCCTGCCAGTCGCTCTCGGTCCGGTCGCCGTTCATGGCCTCCTGCTGCCGGCGCGGGCGGGCTGCCCCGGCGCCGTCCTCTGGGGCCTCCTCCTCCTCCTCCTCCTCCTCCTCCTCCTGCGCCGCCGCCTCCACCTCTACCCTCTGCGTCTCCGCCGTCGCCACCGCCGGGCCCCGCGAGGGCCTGGATGGAGCCTCGAGCCGCTGCGCCGCCGCCTCCTGCGGCCGCCCGCGCTGTCGCCTCCACGTCAGCCTCGGCGGGAGGAAGGGGAGGAGGAGCCGGGCCCCGGTGGCAGCAGCCGCGGCCCCGCCGGCCCGCCCGGCGCAGCCCGGACCCGCCCGGCCGCCTCCGGCCCGCTCCGGGCTCTAGGGAAGGGGCTGAGGCCCAGCGGTAACCCCTGACCTCAGCACTACAGATCTGCAGGCCAGGAGGAGGGCTGGGCAGGCACCTGTGTCTCCCACCCCAAGAAGCACACCCTCAAATCCTGCCCTGGCCCCACCACCATCGGGCCCCTGTTCTCTGATGGAAAGCACATTCTAAAAGGAGTTGTTGGGCATCTGAGTGAATGGACCACGTGTTCTGTATTTAACATTGTTTTCCAAGCATCTAAGGTTTATTTGTATTTATTTCTTAAGTGACCAGCTGTCATAAATAGAAGGAATGCGTAACAGTGAACAGTAAAGTGATATTGAATTCTCAACAGGTCCAAGAAGCTGAGGGTGATGTTTAACCCTTGGCAGGAGAGGGGCTGAGATGCATCCCCGACAAACGGAGACTTCCTCTAAGAGGAAGGACTGAAAGCCCATGGCAGGGCAGGTGAGTCTCACAGGAGTTTGTCATTCGAGGTGCTTTTCCTGCGCCACCTAAACCGCTCTCCGGGACCATCCCCAACAGTGAGCCTTCCGTTCCTGCTCAGCCCTGCCTGCCTGTGGAGATGAGCAGGTGGGTTGAGAGAAGCTGTGAATCCATTTTACAGGTGCAAAGCACACAGCCAATATTTATTATTTACTATTGCCTGAAATTTGTGCACAAGTGTTCCTCAGCCAGACCTGCACTCTCTCCAATACGGGAGCCCTCAGGGGATGTCCTACTGATGGCTTAGGCCCGCTCCCCATGGTTCTCTGTTCTCTGCGGGGCCTGCCTGCTTTACACCACTGCGATGGGCAAGCAGGTCCTGCTGGGTGCTGCCTGTGGACCTCGCTTGCCTGCTACCAGATTGCAGTAGGATGGCCAAATAGGTCCTGCTGTCTGCTGTCAATCAGCACAGCCAAACCCACCCGCCTGGGGGCGGGTCCAGCTGTGCCCCCCACCCTGGAATTGACAGTCCTGCCCTGCCTGGCTTTCCCAGCCCCATAGCAGCCGCGGCCACTGCAGGTCTGGCCCTGCCTCCCTCTCCAGCCCTTGAAGAAGCCTTGGCGGCTGCTGACCAAGCTCTCCTGCCGCTCTGCCCCCCATGCTGCATGTGCAACCTCATCCTGCCCAGTTGATCCCTTACACTGTAAGGCTTACAGCATCCTGGTTAATTAGCATACTTCTCTATTTTATATATATAGATTACTTTTAGCCCCTATTGATCCTGTAACAACCCTATGAGGTAGATTTTATCCCCATTGATCAGATGGGAAGCAGAGATTCAAGTAGGACCGTGGTCGGCAAACTATGGCTCTCTAGCCACATGCAGCTCTTTGGCCCCTTGAGTGTGGCTCTTCCATTTGAAGAAGTGGTGTTAGAAGAAGTTTAAGTTTTAAAAAATTGGCTCTCCAAAGAAATTTTAATCGTTGTACTGTTGATATTTGGCTCTGTTGACTAATGAGTTTGCTGACCACTGAATGAGGACATCTGGCTCCAATAGGCCCCATTCAGCATCTTGGAAATCTGCAAGCAAAACATCACCCCTGGGAGTTGCAAAGATTGGGACTCTAATGTTGGCCTTGTTTTGTTGATGTGGTAGGTTGTTTGCAACATGGCGTGAATAATTTCCTGCCTGTGTCCCAGCCATTGTCTGTAATTTTGACCCTTGGCTCAGCCATGTGACTTGCTTTGGCTGATGCAATGTTTGCATATGTGCTACACAAAGAGGCCTGCAAACACCTGTGCGGTCAGACTTACCCTTGCATACGTCCTTGGGAACCTCTGATCCCCAAGAAAACAAGCCCAGAAAAGCTTGCTGGATGATGAGGGACTCAGGGCCAACTCAGCTACCACATATGTGAGTGAGGCCATTGACTCCCAGCTGCCATGGATGAGACCAGCAGAACTGCCCAGCGGAGCTCTGCCTCGTTTGCTGCCCCATAGGTCACAGGCCACATAAACTGATGTGATTTTAAGCCAGCAATGTTTGGGAAGGGTTTGCCATATAGATCAACACATGACTGATACAACTGGTGACAGTAGCTGAAGAGCCTGGATGGCCTGCCTGGCAGCACGCAAAAAGCAACATCCCCTGGCATCCCGACCTGTTGGGTCCTCATCTAAAGAAGATTCTACAACAGATTCTGGCAGGCCAAGGACTGGGAGACTGCCAGTCAGCACCTTTATTCTGTGCCTGTTGTATACAAACCCTGTACTCACCCTGGGTTCAATAGCATTGCAGACCACAGCCCCTGTCCTGGGGCCCGTGGGGTTTTCAATCCTTACCATCAAGATTATGCTCTAAGGCAGTGGTCAGCAAACTCATTAGTCAACAGAGTGGCAAACTGCGACTTGCAAGCTGCAGGTGGCTCACAAGCTGCAGTTTGCCTACCACTGCTCTAGGGAATAAAAAGAGAGAAAAAGGGGCTAGAATGCAGCTAAGTCTTCTGACCGGGCCACCTTATCTATTCTCTTTTTAATCCAAGGAAGTGGAAAAAAGGTCATCCCTGAGCTGAACATCTAGGGTTAACTCAGCACCAAGCTCCTGATCTTAAACAGCCTGATGTCTCATGCTAAGAAGCAGGTACTGCCTGCCAATATATTGCCCTCTGGCAAACCATCTGGTTTCCTTCTGACCTGTCGATGAAATAGACGGTAGGAAGAGTGGACATAACTTGTTCCATCTGCCTTCCGCTGCCTCCTGCTCTCGGCTGGCATTCAGGTGGGAAAGCAGCCTGCCCCTTCGTTTAGCTGAGGCTTTCAATACCGCTGCTCCTTGGCAATGGTCACTGATATATCAGGCCGTCAGCTGCCAAGGATCTTACATGAGAGGCCACGTACCTCTGCACGAAGTCATTTCTCCAATTTGCTTTCCTTCTCTGAAGTAAGTTAGCCCGTGTTTAAGGTATTTTAAAATAAAATTAGGGCCCAGTTTGCATGGCTCAATGGTTGAGCGACCTTTGAACCAGAAGGTCAGGGTTCAATGCACTGTCAGGGCAAATGCCTGTGTTGTGGGCTCAATTCCCAGTGTGAGGCATGCAGGAGGCAGCTTATCTCTCTTATCATCGATGTTTCTATCTTTCCCTGTCTCTTCCTCTCTGAAATCAATAAAAATTTATATTTTAAATAAATATAAAATTGGGGAGGAAAGTCAAAGAGTGTAGGCTTCTTCCTTCGCCTTCCTGTGGAGAAACATCCAGCACAGTTGAACAGCATCTCCAGGAGCTGGATTCTCCTTAGAGGTTTCATGCCCCACCTGCCAGCTCGAACCTGCCTGGCTTCTGAGATGTGATGAAATCACATGTGATGAAATCATAAACCAAGGCAGTGTTGCTGCGAGCGATTTTTTTTTTAATCTCTTTTCATTTATGGAGCCTGACATTGAGTAATAATAATAATTAAGTGCCATTTAAGCTTTTAGGCACCTATACCAGCAGGCCTCTAGATACCTCATCAAGAGAAGCCCAGGCTGATGAAAACAACGCTAATTATATCGTTGGTTAGCTTTTTTCTTTAAAAAAAAAATGAAAAACAAGGAAAACTGCTGACCAACTCTTCTGACCTCTCGTGAAAGCAGTACATTAAATGCTTCATCTGACAGTCCATTTACACAGAACCAGTTTAAAACCAGCTGCCCTTGACTTGAATTTCCCTCCTAGAATTAAGTATTAACATGTGACTCTAACCTCTATTTTCTTTCTTTGTTTTAAAGTTAAATTTCATTGTATTTGCTGTAGAAAGAAGCTTGTGAAATCTCCTGTGACCTAGGTAAATTATTATAAATATTTTAGCTTAACTTCTCACATTTTTTTCTATGCATTTATTTGCAGTGGGGGTGAAGAGGGATGTTGATTTTTACTTTGGTGTGTTTATTCTATATTTTCTACCCTTTTGCAAATGTAAAATAAAAGCGCTATTAATAACAATTGTGTATTTTGAAAGCCCACATCAGGAGGGTTTATTTCTTCTTTATTTTTCAAATACAGTTGACATGTAATATTATTTTTGCATTAGTTTTAGGGGTACAGCATAGTGGTTAGCAGATACTTTACAAAGTGATCCCCCTGATCTTTTCAATAACCACCTGGCCCCATCCATAGTTATTACAATATTCCCTATGCTATACTTTACATCCCCGGGACTATTCTGTAACTACTGATCTGTACTTCTTAACCCCATCACCTTTTTCACCCTGCCCCCCAAACTCTCCCCCTTCTGGCAACCATCCGTCTGTTCTCTGTATCTATGAATCTGTTTCTGTTTTTGCTTGTTCATTTATTTTTTAGCCTCTATTTTCATGTTCCCTTAGCTCCCTGAGAAATCTCTAGGGACCCAATTTTTCCGTATAGATTCGTAGCCCCGGGGCCAGTTTTATTTATTTATTTCCATGCACCTATAATGGCAGAAGAAAGTGCTTGGATGCTTTTTGAATGATGCTTCTCACTTTCAAACATTGGAGAAGAGTTTAGATGTGGGAACTCCAAAAATAGCTTGACCTAAGAAATTAAACCAGCAGGTACTGATGCCAACAAAAGAAAACAAAAAAAAACAAGAAATCTCTGGAGAGACTGGGAAAGGGTGATGTGAATCTTTTGTTACAAACCTGAGCCTCTCATTGCAGGCTTTCTACGGATGTGCAGGTTGACTCTGGCCAAGTCTCAACAGCCTCAGACAAACAGGGAAGAACCCTAACGCTTTTGACACAACTTCTCTGGACAGTATTTTCAGTTAAGCAAAAATGCCAGAGTTTTCATTAAAGGAAATGAAGCAAGTCTGCGGGAGAGGTGTTTGGCTCGGT